GCAGGGGGGTTGGACTAGATGACCTTTAAAGGTCCCTTCCAACACAAAACAATCTATAATTCTATGCAATTCATGAAAGAAAAGTCTTTGGCAATACTGAGCAGAAAGACAGTGCCTCTGGCATGAATCAGTAAAGTGAGAGATATATGTTTGCACTGGTCTTATGCTCTTCCATACGTATTCTTTCTTGGTACCTCTTTAAGATTGGCTATTGGGTTGGATAACTCTCTGGTTGATTAAATAAGGCTACTCTTACATTCTTATGCTGGACAGGACAAAAATCAATGGCGTTGCATTGCAGCAAGGAAAACTGAAGTTATGCTTTAGAAAAATGTTACAGCGTCTGGCTTGTGAATTGATGGAGTAAATTCCCTGGGAAATTTGTGGAGTCCCTGTGATTAAAGTCTTTAAAGAATAATAATGATGCCTTCTTCTATCCTTATTCTCTTTTGATTGTACATAAATAGTTTTCCAACAAATCAGTATCAGGATTAACATCTGGGAATTCCAGCTCTTCAAATTGTTTGATTGTTCATATACATTTTTGAAACTAGAAGGCTTGAAAATTTGCCCCTCCTTGTAACTGAACTTCAATTTTGAGATTTGTGAAAACTTTGTTATTCTATTTTCTTGTTTTCATTTCTTTTGCATTTTGTACAATATGAAATAATCTAGTGAAGCTCATCCATACAAAACTTTCTCCTTTTATCAAAACTAGGCAGTACCTTTAATTCATTACGAAGCTTGGATTTCCAAGGCAGCAAGGTTCAGAGAGGACCCTGCCTGAACTTTTGAGGATTGCTTATTGAAATCTCTACATGGAATAATAATGTAGGCTTTCTCTGTTGTGTAATAGTGTGGTGCATTACATATTCCAAGAATGCCTTTTCTAAAGAGCAGACTCAATCCATATTTACACCAAAAGCCTTTATTTGTTAAGTAAAGAAAATTACACATCCTTCTGCAGTAAAAGATCTCAAAGCATTCCAAAGGTGGCTAATACCATTTTGTATTTCTGTGTTTGTAATTTTACAGATGAGGGATAAAAGGCCAAATAGTTGAATCTGCCTTTGACCCATGGTCACACAGGAAATCAGTGCCAGCGCACCTTACTTTCAGCCTGAGAATGTCTTTAACTGTGCTTCCTATGGCTTCTGTAACACAGAAGTAATGCTATAGTCATTAAGGCTGCTTAGAACGATATCGTTTCTTTTGCTAAAAGCAGAGTAGCACTGTTGCGTTGCAACTCAGCAGTCCATACGCTCTTAGTTGTATTCTGGAACTCCTTTTCAAAATCATTCCCTGATGTTTGGCTGTTCTGTTGAAGCTATTTTTAAACAGAACAACAGCTCTTTCAGTGTAAAGAACAAAATGGGCTTTCTGTAGAAACAACTGTGGATTGCTTTTCAAGCATCATTTTTTGTGGGTTGTTTTTTTTTTTGGTTATTAAACAGAAATGCAGCTGTCATTAAAATCCAAAAACTACAGCCAGTACCTGTATTTCACAAGTAAAAGTCTAGGGTTTGTTTGGTTTTTTTAATATTATTTTTGAAACAAAAATGTGTTTGTATTTACCTAGAGTTTATCTGTTACTCACAAAACCAGGGCTGACCAGTGGCATGCCCTCACTTTCACTATTGTGCTCATCACAGCCACCTTTTCTGTACAGGTATTTTGCTGGAGTCAGAGGATAGGATAAGAAAGATTCCGCTATGAGCAATGGAAGTGATTGGAAGTATTGAGAAAATGCCTCACAACCAGATGCTGAAAGAGGGCTAATAAGAAAGGAAACAATTAGAGAGTGATATGTGAAACATTTAAAAATAGTGTACGGTACAGAACAGATCATGTAAGAACACACAAGCAGTGACACACTGAAAAAAATTGAAAGGTGGCAAATTGAAGCTGATAAAAGTGAATATTTAGCTGTAGCTAATGTATTAACAAGATCAAAAGTGGACTGTACAGCTATATGGATAATAAAAATGTGGAAATTTTGTGGAAATAGTCTAGAAGTTCAATGATTAGGATTAGCCTTGGTGTAATGTACAAGAACTATATGTTAAAAATAAACCATGTTTGTGAGGATGTATACTCTTATGCTTTGTGATATAATAAACCTCTCCTGTTAAAACTTTATAGATAATTTCTCTGGAAGCATGTTATTTTATAGTGCTTACAAGAAGGCTTCCTACAGTGAGCTTCAGGGTAGTGAAGGTTGTCAGGTAATATATATTGGACAGGAAGGACTTCTGATTTGATTTCCATGGCACTGAAGCAGAATACATAGTTTTGATAGGAAAAGAACGTGTGAGAGAGGGATTCTTATTTTTTTTAATTAACCTTAGTCTTGATAAGACTAATTTGTGTGTGGGGGGGTTCTACATGTGTGGTATTTAGTCATCATGTAATTCATATTAATGGAGTCTTTACATATTCTTAATTGGACATTAGTTTAAGGTCACTGGGGTATGTAAGCCTAAATTTATGTAAAATAGATTGTAAAGTTGTAACAGATGGGAGCAATGTAATTTTAATACACTTTAATGACCATGTTGACATGGGACTGCTAGCTTTTAAGTGTATTTGAAAAGTTGCTGAAGATTCTAAACTTTTTGCTTTGTGTGAAGCTTGTAAATGATCTGGGATCCATCACCCCAGGCAAAGAGTTGCTTTTCTTTAGGATTGTAATGTATAGTGGAATGACTACCCTGACGTTTTGGAAAATGCAATACTGGGATTTCATAAGTATTTACAGCATCCAAAACATCATAAACACATTGTATGCGAGAGGTGCCTCCACTAGGAAAGTTGTACACAACATAGAGTGTGTTGCATGCCATGAAAGCTGCTTCAGCATCCTTGCTATTGCATGATGTGTCCCAAGTGTGCTCTACTGCCATGGTTATGTGGTTGATTTTAGTAATTACAATGTTTCCTCCAGTCTCTGGTTCTGCATGGATTGCCCAGAGCCCTTGCTCATCAATGGCAAGATCTATTTTTGTAGACGGAGAAAGCTGATAGGCAGGAATCCTTCCAGCCCCTGGCAGTAGCATTTGGTCAGTTATATTTCTTTTCTGGATATTAAATTTAATTATCTCATTTAAGGAGCCATATCTGTGATAGAACAGGAAACCCTGATATATGATGTGGCCAGTTCCTTCCCAGGCAAATGGCAAGGTGACTCTGCGAGCTTTTAGTGTATGATTGCTTTCCATGAATGTCATGATATTTGCAAATTCCAAAATAACATTATTTACAGAACCATTTAATAAATAAATCTTTGTATGCTTTTTGCCAGGATCTTTCATCCAACAGCCATGCTTATCTCCAGTCTTCTTAACTATCTTCAGGGATTTAATACCTGCAAGCATGTGGTCACAACCTGCAAGGAAACACGCAAAGACAAAAAAAAAATATTAGAGTATCTGTGAATTTTCTCGTTTCCTTTCTTTGAATTACTTAGTTTCCTTTTAATCCAACTATAAGGTCAGGCTCGATATATCAGTAAAGGTATCAGCAGCGTGGCTATGGTAAGTAGTGTTGAAGCTAATTTTATATGACATATTCAGCATCTCCTGCTAAGGAAACTGCATATATTCAGCTACACATAGTGTGTTGTTTTCTGCTCTATTAGACCAGTGTTATCCAAAAGGGATTCTATTTGTGTACCTGAGAGGAGACCAAGAGCACAGTTAGTGATTCTCTGATTATTCTTGTCAGTTCTTTTACAGGGCTGTAATTTTTACTTCAGAGAAGTGACTTCTGTTTTAGATCAACACAGTAAAATAATAAAATTTATTTCTTACTGAAAGCATACAAATTAAAATCCATTTTCCTGATATGCCATGTGTATAGTATTTTTGTTTCTCTTATCCTCTGTTAGCCTCTTTTTTTGCATTTATAATATGAAGACAAATAAAAATGGATCATCATAACAGAAAGCCAAAACCCTGGGTTATCTTCCCATTTAGCTTCCCAACACTTGCAACACAAAGGAACTAGAACAAATACATGGATCACAAAAACGGGAATGCCCATAGATTAAGGTGGTCTTTAAATGAACTGGTATGATGTCTGTGTTATCAATTCTTATGCAAGAAGTATGGCTGGGGGGATTACATAGTTGTTTACCTCACTATAGGGATAAAATTGGCACCAGCAGAGAGCGAGTCATAGTTTTGGCTTCATTACATTTTGTACGCACTTGCACAGATGTTTAAGACCAAAAACTACCAAGCTTGTGAAGACTCGGGCATTTAGATGCTAAGATCTTTATCAAGTACCATCCCTTCCAGGAAAAACTCTACTGCAAGAATTACATAGTTGTTTACCTCACTATAGGGATAAAATTGGCACCAGCAGAGAGCGAGTCATAGTTTTGGCTTCATTACATTTTGTACGCACTTGCACAGATGTTTAAGACCAAAAACTACCAAGCTTGTGAAGACTCGGGCATTTAGATGCTAAGATCTTTATCAAGTACCATCCCTTCCAGGAAAAACTCTACTGCAAAGCATACTAACAAGCTTGTTTACCAAAGGCACTCATAAATTACAAGATACACTGTTTGAAGTTTAAAGAATTGCCTTTAGTGAAGTGCAGCCATTTTAGTAAACAGAACAAACAAAGCCCAAAGGCAGGAAGTTCTGGCAGTAGATAAAATGGAGAAAGCAAAACCAGCCTCCCTGTTTGGCCTGATGTGAACCTATTGAAGTCAGTGGCAAGATTCCAGTTGCCTGTAGAAAGCAACCTTTATGTCATTTGTGTGTGCAGATACCATTTAACCAAAGCATTTGGATATTGCTGCTACAGCATGGATTTTTTTGGTGGAAGTCCTCACTCTGGATGCACCTTCCCTGAGTAAGCCACAATAGCTTTCCCAAAACTAACATTTATTGATTAGATAGATTCTAAAAACTTAAAACTATTGAGTCAAAATACCTAGCCAGCCCTAGCAACATCTTCCTCTGCAGGAGAAATAACCAGATTACTATCTGAAATCTATGAATAGTGTCTCTCTTCTTGAGAGAAGATTTTTAACTCTCTTTGGCTTTCATAACAGCTTGCAGGAAGACTGAGAAACTGAAACATTCACAGTGAGCAAAAAGTTTACCAAAATTTTTCCACATTCTCCGCAATGATACCTTCAAAGCCCACTGTTTCTTATCATACCCCTAAATGTGCAGAAGATAATTTCCCATTTCCCACCCAAAGCAGGATGAGGTATCAACTACTGCATGTAAAAACAGTGATTCTGCTTGATTGTTATTTTCAGGTCTGTGTGAACTTGAATCAAATCCAGTAACAAGGTTGGACTTAAAAAACCATTTTTTTGCTAGAGTTTTGGAGCAACTCAGCAAAAATAATCATAACTTCCGGTTAATATATGATAGCATAGAAGCAGAGCTGCTGTTTGCTAGAGTTGAGGGTCTTGCTACTTTTTCTAAGTGCTGTAAAATCTACACAGGGACGAGTTTTGCCATCGACTTCAATGGGACAAGGATCTGACTAGTACTGACAAAAGCAAAGTTGCTGTGAACTGCTGCAATAAAATTAAAAGTAATAATTTCCCACAAGGGAAAATGGAAAGTAATTTTTCCCCTCTGAAACTCTCAGAAAGATATAATTTTCAGTGTCCTTACCACAGTCAGTTTAAAAATCCCTAAATTTTTCTGCCTCTCAAGAAAATGCCTAGTGTTCAAAAAAATCTATATATGGAGAAAAGAAATCTTGATATTCAGAGCACTCAATTGTGGTGTATGATTAGAGCTCAGAAGCAGAATAGGTGACTGCTTCTGTTACCATCTGCCTTAATACTCTTTTGCTGGAAAAGTTCAAGGAAAAAATTTGAAACTTATTTGTAAAATTAAATCAGTTAATTCTGAAGTTAGTGGAATTGTATAATTGATCATGCTAAAGATCTTTCACCTAGCTTTTTTAAAAATGGCAGTTTATATTATTGTTTATTTTTCATTTCTTACAACTTTTGAATTAAGATGAAACAGACTACTTCAAATATGTCTACAATATGTAATTTACATCTATAACTCAACTTTCTTAAGGTAAAGGTACTTATAATTATAAAACTTAATTTGTTTAAAAAAAGTATAGATTGTGTATATATTCTTCATAATAGGTACCTTAACAATTTTCAAATCAGAACTAAGCTTTGCTTGCAGCTAAGCCAGTGTGCTCTCTTGGTAAAGTACATGGAGGGGAGAGGGAGAAAAAGAATGCCGGAGGAGGACAGTAAAACAGATGCAAATTGTAGAAGTGAATTAAGTCTTTTTACTAACTTGTGAGTTCACTTTTGAGTTGAGGTTTTGACCCCTGCCCACTCCAAAAAACAAAGCCCCCCCCGCCATATTCCTTGGCATAGGTGCAATACTCTGAAATGCAGTGGCATTTTTTCTGGGACTTTGCAAAAGCATACCTTCAGAGGCTTTTTACATTACTTTATAATAAAAAGCAGCTTCCAAAGAATTTTTTTTTTTTTTAAATCTAGTATTTACACAGCCAAACCCCCATGCAATTATCTGTGGTATTCACATAACTTGTGAAAATCTGTTATCCCTATACCAGCATACATGCATTGGCTAGGGGACTGTCTCGTTCAGATCAAAGTTCTGAAAAGTAAACTGTTCTTACTTGCATTAAGCATGAGTTTAAGTTTCTTTTTTTCTTCTGCTTCTTCAAATAGCTGCTGTTTCACCAGGTCTTCATGTACTTCTATACATGTATTAGAATCTGTGACAGATCCAAAATAGTCAATGTCCCTTTGTGCACGTTCAATTCTTGTTAGCAAATTCTCTACTTCACTTTTAACCTCAGCCTTATAATTGTTCAGTCCTGCCAGGCGTGACAGTACCATCTTTGAAAAGTCTCGGAATTCTTCCACGTAATCCAGTATGTCTTGGTTGCATTTTTCCAGCCTCTTCTTGAGTTAGAACACAGGAAGAAAATACATGGATATACGTGTATATTCTGTATAGATTACAACCTCATTCATGATTACTTTAAAAACTGTGCTATTCTCTCCTTTCCAGTCCCCCTGCCCCCCATCTATTTCAAACCGATGGTCTGTTGCTGTATATCTACGTGAAGAGGACATATTAGACTGGCACTAGCATTCACAGTTCTGGACAAAAATACACATTTTTTTTCTTGATGTGGTTACTGACAACCAGATACTTTGTTTTGCTGCCTAAAGAGGGAAAAGTGCTCTGGTGGAAATAGCCAGAGATACTTAAGGGCACATGATCCCTGATTACTTGCTTTCCAGACATGTTTCAGAACTCCTCCTGTAGGGCCACTGGTGAAACAGTCTCAAAAAGTTTTCTGCAGGAAATCTGCAAATGTGAACATTTCAAATAAATACACCTCTTCTGACCAAGACAGTATCTATTGTGGCTATTTTTCATCCATTTAAAATGGAAAATGGAAATACTGACATCTCTATGTTTGAGAAGGTTGTTTTTGGTTTTTTTTTGTCAAATTGTTTGCTGTATTTAAAAAAAGAACACAAGTTTCTTTATACCTAGATTCAAATTATCAACATTTTTAAAAGTGAGGAAAGTGATTTCTCTGTTGTAATGTAGCTGCTTCTATAAAGATCATAGGTGGCCTGAAAATAGAAGCCCAACTGCCACTTTGGGAAGATGAGGAAATTGAGCCAATATTTAAGCCCAAACACACAATCATAGTAGATCTAACTGCCAGATTGGGTGTTCTGACTTGGTGCTTTATGCACAGATTTCAGGTGTTTTGTTTTAAAGGTGGTGTTTGACTGGGAAATGTCTGAGTTTACTGAATGAATAGTGCAGTATGTATGTATTCCATGTAAACTTGGTGGTGGTGGTGGTTTGGTGGTTTGTTTTGCGAGGCGTGGTTTTTGTGTGCCCTCCCCCCCGCCATTTGTACGTGACCGTAAGTCCCCAGGAAGCTGTTTAACTACTTTCTACAAAAACTTTATTTTAAATGTTTTCAAGTGTTCTCTTCAATATCTGCCTCACCCTTTTTCCTGTTCTCTGTTTGGTGCCCCTTGCAACAGATTCCACAGGTGGAATTGCATCATTTTTAATGTGTGCCAAATGAATGGAAATTACCACTTGAAGTTATTCCTGTAGTGGTTAAGAAAATTTAAATCTCAGTCTACACAATGGGAACAGAATACCAGGCTAATCCTTCAGTTCTTCCTGTGTTGTGAAGTTAAGACCAGTGAGAGCTTTGTACAAAAAGGGAATGTGAGATCAGGCAAGTTAAAGCTTCTTGAAAAGTCTGCCAATGCAAGTCAGGAGCCAAGGACATGTTAATGATTTAAGATAAACTATCTATGATTACAGCGTGCCGATACTGAAAAGGTATTTTGCAGTACTGGTAGTTTTTTACTGCAGAGAAAGAAGCAGGTACTGGTACTTTTATATAATTAATTGAAAGCAAATACCTATTTCAATCTCCCAGCTGTAAGGGGATTATTTCAACTACTAGTTAAAGTGCAGATACACTGCTAGTTTACACAAATGTGTCTTGAGCTACTCTTCCAGATAAGTTCATCTGTACATAGGAAAAATACCTGATAAATTTCTATCTCCTTGTTAATACCTGACAGCACTTCTGCTGGTGACAATATGGTTATACTGTTCCCTAGCATGGACTGTGACAGTACTATAAACATTTGCATATTTAGCTAAATTCCCTGATGTCGTAAAAAATGCAAGTGATAACAGAATAAAAATATAACATTATGAAATTATATCCTGCAATAAATATTGATGTGGTAATTAGGAATCGTTATAGTTAAAGGTTTAGCTACAATTTTACTTATTTATTTAAAAAAGCTGGAAATTTATCTTCCAGATATTGTTTAGCATACAAACTGTTCTGTGTTCGCACACACAGAAGAACATTCATACATTTTCAAACCTCTTTGCAGTTAGGCAGTATTACAGAAGGATACAGATAGCACATACCTCTAAAGATAGGAAACGCCGGTCAATGTAGTTCATCAGTGCTGCATCTTGCATCATATATTGCGCTGCTCCCATGACGCTTGTGAGCAATGGAACTAATAAAAATCGGAGTTGCAAGACCAGCATTGTTTCATAAAATTTTGAAGCAAAAAGAGTAGTGAATTAATTGTCTGTGTGTGTGTGCATGCGGAGGGCAATCCCAAACACTACTGCCAGTCCAGGATTAAATGAAATTTAACAGTTGTCTGATGCTGCAATGTGAAAAAATAATACTAAAAATTACTAAAAAGTTAGAAATACTGAGGCTGCAAGTATTAAAAAGACTTAAAATGGCTGTTGCAGTTTATCATTAAAAAAATAAAGTTGTGGAAGAGGAACTGAATGTGTTTATTTCTAGAAGCCAGATGACTGCTTTCCAGTTTGTGATCCTATGATCAATCCCAGATGTTCAGTACTGAGTCACATAAAGCCTGTAGGCCAAATTTCATTAAATACAAATAAAAATAATTTCTTCCCTCCTTTCTCCTCCCATCTGCTTTCCTGTGTGACCAACACTGTGCAGTAAGTACTTGGTGTAAGTCAGCATAGATTCAAAGTCAGTGGAGCACTGGTCATTCTTTCACAGGAAGACTTGATGCATGTCTGTAGCTACTTCAGCCACCACAGTTGTTACTGTAAAACAATCTAAAGTAATTGTTTTCACTTCCACTATTCAGCCTATTTACAGTAGGACTGAAAACCATAGATAAAATTATGTAAAAAAAATCTTTTTCCTTCCCCTTCCTCTCTTCTCTTGCCAGTACTTTTTCAGCTAAAATCAATATCCTTAACACAGTTCTGTGTCAATTTAATGGAGTCCTTGATAGGTCTCTTCTTTCAGAGTAATAATTCTACTTAGGATGACTTAAAAATTAATAATATTTGATTTACATGAGTCTATTGTATTTGAGGCAATTTTTATTTATTCTTTTTCATAATTGCCATGACTGAATGCTTTGTCTGGAAATATATGTGGCTATGCTAACATTGTATTCGCTAGGAAACCATGTGTTAGGGTGTTAGAAATCTCCCTTTGTATCTGAAGCCAAACTGGATGTCTCTGTTTCTCAGAATTCTCTACCTCTTCACTTTTTTTTTCATTTTTCTTTCTCTACGTTTTTTTTTTTCTCACATTTACACAGCTTTCCTTTTCTTTCTGACTGCCTTGTGTGTAAGCATGAGACTTGTGACAAAATTCATGAAAATGTGTCACAGCAGGCAGATTTTTACCTCTGTTCGCTTGATTGTTGTGAGGTACCATTGTGTGTACTTTACAGGCAAATTTCAGAGGTGCGCAGGTAAGTATTTTTTCTTTTAATATTGCTTTATCCTAAGAGGCGTAAACAATTTGCCAGTTTCTATTTACAGGCAAAGTCAGTGATGCACAGAGAGGCTAATACTTGGTTCTCCACTCCAGTGTCGTTTCACTTTACTCCAGAACTCCTGCCTGAGAGAATGGAAAGCTTGCCAGCTTGGATCCTTGAAAGATTATGCACTGAGAATAGACACCCTAGGAAGTGTACAGTCTTCCCTGATTATGTCCTATGGAACATCTTGACAAACTGCACTGCTTTCTTTTCCACGAAATAATCAGCTTCAACACTGGGGAAGAACACAGAAAAATGATCTCTTTTCTGACCTTCTAGATGAACCTGGAATCCTTCAGAGTTGTTCTCCGAGTTTAGTATGTCTATCACAATAATCTAAGGTAATGATCAGGAAATGAAGACTATGGGATTCAATGGGTTAATTTCTTCATTTAATGGAGGGAGAAATCATACATATGTGTAAAACAAAATCTATCATGGTTTGCCTGCAGTTTGGCACATCCTTGACTCAAGTTATGACTCCAAGTCCTATTTTAAGGTAATCTGAAGTAGCAACTTAACTTTATAACTTTTAATATTCTTTTTTCATTGCAGTCTGTAGTCTGGGTTGCCCTCTAAAATAAGGCAGTAGCCTCTTTGGAGAATTTTATTGGACTATGTCAGAGCATCAGTCATAGCAGAACTCATACTGAAAGTTTTTCCTTGGAAGGGGTATTATAGGTTGTGTCTGAATTTTTGATAATTACAGACAATTCTCCAGACTTCACTAGACGGACACTACTATTTCTCAGTTTCAGAGCAACCTTATTTCTGTTTGAATCCAGACCACCTAAGCAAATAAAATACCCTAAGCAAAACATTACAAACTTACTATCAAGAAAGCATACTTAAAAGTCAGGATATAGATATATAATTTCTTTCCTTCGTCTTAAAACGAGGGCAAATTATCTACAAAGCAAAACATCTTGAACTGCTAAACATCCTATATAAGCTTAAGTATGCTGTATAAGAAACTGGATTTTGTAGTGTTGCTCCATCATTTCTCAGAATTACCAGCAGCTGAAAGACCAGAAGCTTCCAAGGATTTCTCTTAATGAGGCATTCCCGTGCTTATTAAACCATAATGTCATGGTAAATGGCAATGATGGTCCATGTCAGATGCAGTATTCTAGGAGGGCATGCTATAGCATCTGGTTAAGAACTGAGCTTTTTTTTTTTTTTCATTAGTTGTTATATATTTTCCAGTTCTGTTCTGCCTAGATACATACATATATATGTTTTTTTTCCCAGCTACATAGTAGCTATATATGTAATAAATATATGTATATATTTATGATAGTGATTTAAAGCAGGTTTGCTTGGCATGCCTGGGAAGACACTGGTCTCAGTGCACAGGATGTTACATGCTAACAGAGCAGAAAAATTGTTCTTACCTCAAGGAACACTTTTTCTCTTGTGAACTACTCCTGGAATCGGTTTCCTATTACTGTCTTGATTTGACAGACAAACCTCTAAAAGGAAACAAGTATGCTGATGTAAGTGCCTTTTCACTGTTCTTGTCCTTCTCTCTCTGGGTGAGATGGTATTCTTTTCTTGTCAATGCTGCTGCTTTGCTGCACTTATTATACCTTTTTACCATTTGATGTCTCTGTTTTGACAGCTGTTTAAGATTTCCAAATAAAAAATAGGCATTTTCAGCTCCTCATCTGCGTTTGTGGTTTTGATTTCAGATGCTGGATGGAGTTTTCTGTGTTTTAAAAGTGATGTTGAAATCAATTCAGAGTGGATACTAGATTTGGGGAAAAAATTACATTTCTTTAAGATATTATTTCACTCTTATACCATTGCATGCTATGTTTTGTTGTTTTTTTTTTAAGTCAGTTTCTTTCTGGCATTTCGGTTGGTAAAACCAGAGCAGTACCACAATAAGTCAGGCTCTTTGCAGTAATTTGCGGCACTCCATGGTACCTGCAAACCCTGTTACAGTCAAGGGGAATGTGTGTAAACTGTAAGTTTACTTCTTTGCAGAAACTCATTTCTCCATTACACTCATGATGGAGAAATCTTATCTATCATGAGATAGGACCTCAGCCATGGAGACCTCGAGATTACTGTTCAAGGCACTTCCTTGCCTTGTCTGAGATGAGTCTCTCTGATTTGTCGATCTCCAACTCTTCCACATCACTGCCGTAGCTTCCTGTTCCAGGTCTTCCTCAGTGCTTTGACTTTCCTCCAGTCCCACTTCTTGTCGGCATGCCATCACAGGAATCACGAGACATGTTTGTTGTCCCACCAGAGCTGTAACACATAAACCACATAGGCACAAGACCATTGCTGGGTCTGTCTGTGCCTGTGACTCTAATAGACTCCCAGTGTGCTCTGTAAACACAGCCTGCCATTTTTCTTTCTGAGCTTTGGAAACATCTCTGACTCCCAAGCTCCCTCACGCTTTTTCCTTGGCTTTTACTGAGCAACGGATGCTCTCCTAATGCCGTGCCCTATGCTGTTACAACCCTGAGAAAAGTGGGAAGTCCACACTCCTGTTGCTTAGATCTAAGTAATACATATACACATATACATCAGATTTTACTCCTGAAGTCCAGCCTGGCTTAAAACAGAGTTGATTATGTTTTTCATCTTTAGTTAACCTCTACATGTAAAGCAAGAATAGATAGATGAAAAGAAAACATCAGAGACATAGTCTGATTTACAGCTTTCTACATTACTGACTTTATACACACGTGCATTAGAATAACTGCTACTCAGCCTGATGCATCAGTGATACGTCAGTGCATGTGTGCCTTGTGGTTTTGCATCTCATGATCATTAATCAAATGTGTTATAGGCAAAACAAGAGGAAAAGAGATAACTATCTGAAATAATGGGATTTTGTTTGTGATGGCAATTTTGTTTAGTTTACAGTTGCCTAATTTGGTAGGTTTTGGCGCTGAGGAACCATAAGGATGTTTTATATTAATAATATATAGTGTATCATTGTCTTCTTGTGTATTGTCTAATTTTGTTCAGACTTGGGTCTACAGAATTAAGTTCCTTGTTAGTACTGGCCACTACCTGATGAGGTTGTCTAATGCTGAGATCTGTGAGGTTAGAAAATATTTTTGTCATAGTGGGAAATAACACTTAATTCCAATTCTGCCTTATTTTTTTTACACCACTTTCAGTTTTATATCTTAAAGAGTGATTAACATTTCTGTAAAAAAGACAAACATATGAAATCAAATTGTAGTCCTTATGTGGTGTTCAGCTATAAGAATAGTGTTGGGAGTGATACCAGTAAGGGTGAAATACACTGCGATAAAAAGGAGACTTCGGTGAATTTTGGGATTCAGACAGAGGCCTCCACTAGGCGGCTCTCAAGTTCTTAGAATTGAAAGCCTAACTTCACTGAAACACACCATTTCCTAACTCTCTGAATGAGATAAAACATACAGAAGGAAGCCTGGTTCAGATGGTCCAAAATGATAGACAGACACATGAATGGAAAGCTATTAGTAAGCCAGGTGCCAGTAGGCTTTAGTAATCTGCTGCTGCAGTGACAAGCTCACAAGCGTTAGGGGTCTGTGTGTCCCAAAATGGTGAAAGCCAGTGCTTCCTGGAATCAGCAAGAGCTCGGGATGTACAGTACCTGCAGGAAAAACTAATCATCTCATGAGGACTGGCTCTAAAAATGAAATCACAAAGGCAAAATGAATCCCCATTTTATTTGTACTGATTTACAGCTGGAGCTAGTTAAATCAT